AATATCTTCACACGTTTTCAGTGCTGTTCTGCATGCATCCTGTCTCAATTCGTGGCAAGTACCAGCTGTGGCAAGCTTGTCCATAGGACTCTAGATCCTGTGTGATCTCTCATAGGTAATTTGTATCAACTGCTACTTTTTGCTGCTTGTTTGTTTATTCAGAAGCTTCCAATTGAACATGTTCTTATGAAAAAACAAATTTGGTATAATCATTTTGTTTTGGAGTAGAAGAGATCCTGTTTTCCCAGAAGTGTTGTTGAGAAAGTGAAGTGTAATCATGAGATGAGTTTCTAGCTTCTGCAAGCTGTACAAAAGTCTGCCAAATCTCTATAGCTCCCAGATGGTTAGCAGCGTATCTGAAGAGAGAAGTTTTAGTGCTTCAAGGGGGCTGTGGAATTTCATATCTTGTTAATAAAATTGGCAAGATCTATCAAGTCTTGTATCTAGAATCTTCCCCAATATATCCAGTTTTCATTGATTTCTTCTTTCTTTGGCATTTCAGTGAAGAAAGTAATGTCTGTGTTCTGTTTAAAATCACCATATTTTTCCTTTGTAGTGAGACATGCTATTTGATTGAAGTAATTGTAGGTAAAATTCAATGTACTGTATTTTAGTACTCCATAAATAATAATTCAATACCTCAAAATATGAGTCTTTTCTTAAAAAAGCTGTATATTACTGGAGCTTAGAAGCTTAGTTATGATGTCACATAGGTTGGGATTTTACTTCTGCTGGAAATCTTACTTTGATTTTCTGTAAGCGCAGCGTATACCAATATTAACATTCTGAGACTTCTTATTGTTGTGGTAGATAAGCTCTTACAGCAATCCAAGCCGTGTAAAAATTAATAGCTCAAGTTTTCGGGTTTTTTTTTGGGTAAATGGAAATTTTCTTATTCTAATTTTTTTTTTTTCAGCTAAGATAATCATTTGTCCTCTTAGATCACATGTCAATGAGGTTGTTGATGGTGTAGAATCATACAGTACTGACAAAACCCAGAACATTTTTCTCCTCCAATTCCAACTCAAGGCATGGTCAACAAGAGCAGTGTTTTCAGGATATTGTCCAGTTGGGTTTTGGATATCTTCAGTTGGGGACATTGTCATCTCTGTGAACAATTTGTTCCAATGTTCAGCCACCCTTTGTAATGATTGTTTTTCTCTGTGTTTCAGTTTGTGTCCATTTCCTCTTGTTCTGTCACTGGGAACTGACGAGAAGAGTTGTGTTTCCATCTTCTTTATTACTGCCCCCAGTTCTAAATCACTATGCTATGTTAAGATGCCCCTTAACCTTTTCTTCTCTAGGCTGCATGGTCTCATTTCTTTGAGGCTCTTCTTGTATGAAAGAAGCTCTTAAACTTCTTTATGGCTGAATTTGCTCAGGTCTGTCTACGTTTTTCTTCTACTTGGCAGCCCAGAACTGGACCTGGCATTCCAGAGCTCTGTCTTGCCAAAGCTGAGAAACTTCATTGTCCTCAGCTGGTGATTGTAAAGCAGCCCACAATGCTGTTTGACTTCATTGCTGGCTCACAGCCGGTTTGTTGGCCACCAGGACCCACAGATATTTTTTCTACAAATCTGCTCAGGGATGTGATTTAGCAGCGGGTTGTTAGGGTAGTGTGGTTAGGTTGTGGTTGGACTTGATGATCTTTAAGGTCTTTTCCAACCGGAGTGATTCTATGATCTGCTTTACAACCAGTATGTGTCCAGCCTAGTGGTGCCCAGGACAGTACACCATGCTGATCAAACATCAGAGGTTTCTAAAGAACGTTTAAAACATCACAAGTGAATGCATCTGGGGGTTCCCTACAACAAGTGGGAATGGTTTTAAACTGAGACAGGGGAAGTTTAGGTTAGATATTAGGAGGAAGTTCTTCACACAGAGGGTGGTGACGCACTGGAACAGGTTGCCCAAGGAGGCTGTGGATGCCCCATCCCTGGAGGCATTCAAGGCCAGGCTGGATGTGGCTCTGGGCAGCCTGGTCTGGTGGTTGGTGACTCTGCACATAGCAGGGGGCTGAAACTCGATGATTTTTGTGGTCCTTTTCAAACCAGGCCATTCTGTGATTTTGAATCTCATTCTTGTTTCTGATACGAGCTATTTTTGATGCAAGTTATTTCAAGTACGAAGTTTCATCTCATTTTTTGTTTTAAGACCTTAAGATTCGAACACGTTACTGCACATCACTGTGCCACAGCATGTGTTCTGAATATGTGTGCTCTTGTTCCATAGCAGATGCACTGCAAGGAGTTCAGCCATGTTTGTGATCTGTGTTAAGATGAATGGCACAGCATTAAGCTAAAATTCTCTTGCTTGCTCCTACCAGCCATGACATGCTAGTTTCTGCAGCTCAGCTGATGCGTACTAGCTTGTTACATGCTGGTACCTCAATTGTGTGTATGAGCTTACTTTCTGAGAAGAAATGGGAATAACACATAGAATATTCTATTAAATTTGTGCTAATTAAACTCAGAGTATGTATATTTATTTTGAAGTTCTATTTCTAAAAAAATAAAAATAAAATTATTCTTCCAAGTTCCTGATATGTGGTAAAATTATCAGATTTTACTTTTTAAGTTTAGGAATACTACCTCGTGTTAGCTCATTTCTTATGTCAGCTGTGGTTTATGGTTTTCATAAAACTTCTATTGGAACACTGACTTTACAACTGTATTTTATATCCCAGGCAATTTTCTTCTGTAGGCCATCTGATATTTAATGTAGTACACAATCCTCTCCTTCAGAAGAGTGAGGCAGAAAATTATTTGAATAAAGAACTATAAAAAAAAGGCTTTTTTCCCTAAGTTTGCATCATTGGAGCAAGTAGCATGGCTCAGTTTCTCTTAAGAACAGTCCCTATTCCCAAAACAACTGAAACGCTTTTTATCCTGAGTATTTATAAAAGGATAGAGTGGTTCTATTTTGTCATACATTTTTCTTAGGGAAATGTACATAACTGGAAAGGTCAGTGTTTCAAAGCTGTATGGATATTTCCAGACTTTAAGACAGTTGTAACCAATCATGGTTTTTGAGCAGATGGTTCACCGTGTACCTGCAGGCAAGTATTTCTTCTTCAGTTTTTTTCTGATGTGTCCTCAAGCCTAGCAAGCAGTTCTGGTGTTCTGTCTTAATTTCTCTCAGATGGGTCTTTCTGAGGTTCGCATGTATTTTACTGACAAATTATTGTCCACTTTTTTTTGTTTTGTGGATGATAGCAACTTTTTGGATCACTGCACTGTTCACAGACATTGCTTGCACACAGTTTAACGTCTTTGTGAATGAGCAACCTCCCTTCCCTTGCCCGTCTTTATTCTGGTGGCAAACTGTTGACAAATACGCAGCAAAACAGTATTTGGGCAATGCTTGCCTGTATTGGCACTATCTTCAGAGGTAGGCCATTGTGAATTTTGTCTCACTCAGACTGACACTCATCAATGAGCAGCAGTGTTCTCCATAGAAGTAAAAATGTGTGTTCTTGAAACATAACCTTGGTATTACATCTGTTTTCAGAAAGTCAGTGTTCCTCCTTCCTTCTCATTAGTTATGTCTCCATCACATTTGCTCAGGTTTCTAAAATCCTCCGTTTCTGAATGTTTTTTTTGCGACATTCATGGTGCTGCAGCTCACTGCCTGGCCAGCACACCACCTTATTGAGCTCAGAGCTCATGAAGGGTTTGTGGTAGGCTGCCTGTGCAAGATCTTAGGCAAAACTGTAGTCTTCTACTGAAAAAGTAGTTTATCTAGCTAAAAGACAGCTTAACGCTTTTACTTATTTATATAGAAAATGTAGTGATGTGTCCTCTAGTGTGAACACCTGAACATAGGAAATGAACAGTTGACAACTGCGCAGCTGGTTGGGGAAATTGTCTCAAGATTAATTAAGTACTGAGCATAATTACCAGTGTTATTTACAGATGAGTGGTACTTGAATTGCTGCCAGGACCTCAGCTTCAGTTTTGTTGCTTTTCCAACTATCATTCCAGTCAGTTCATAACTTCAAGTCGTCATGTATCTGGTCTGATGTGATGCAAGCTGGATCACTGAAAAATGGGGAGAAGGGAAAGAGAAAGAGTGGGAAGTAAAGGAAGATAAAAACTGCATGTGAAGTGTGTATGAATTTAATTTTATCAGTGCTGTGTTAAGAATGCAGTGTATCTAGATTAACAGCTTTTCTACCTTCACAGTGAATTTAATAGAAAAATAAGTGTTCCTACACAGTTCTGGAAAGGAACTGTGAAACAGGATTCAGAGAGCTTGTGGCATTGATTTTATTAGTATGAAGTTGTCTTTAAGGATTGAAGAGTGCGCTCCAGTAGCTGTTTTATTATGCTGTTACAGTTCTTCAGTTTGAAACTCTAGTGTTTCAAGATGAAGTTTCACCAAGTTCCGCCAAGTTCAAGATAAAGACCTACTTCTTCTGTCAGCAGACTCACTTCTTCATTTTCTTAGGGGAGGATAACATTAAAGAACAGCCATATCTCTATTCAAATAAGAGTTATTTTGGGATACTTGTTTATTTTTGGCTTACTTTCTATTCCTATACTGAAATTACTCAGACTTCTGTATTTTGCTCTCTGCCAAAATACAGAAATGCCAGTGTTTAGTAGCTTTTGATGATGAAAAGAAATTTTACATGATGAATGTAGCAAGGCATATTTGATTGTTTTTTTTTATACCTGGCTGAGGGTGATTTTTGACGATGAGGGGAACTGAATTCAATTCAAGAATTTCAGATTTAGTTTGACATAAGTTTCTGTGTTAACCTTTTCATTCACTTAAGGCCAGTTGTGCAGTAGTACTTAGCACTCCATTTGTTTTCCATAGCAAATACCCAGTTCCTTAAAGCAAGTAAACATGTTTTATAGGGATATGACCACAAAAATCATTAATGTTGCGATGCTGTGGCATTTTAAATAAGACATCAGCTTTAAAAATAGAAATACTCACGATTTAAGTCTTCTCTAAGTTACAGTGAGACTGTAATATTTTTGTAATTGCAGGTACCGGGAGGCTATTCAAAGGTGGGATGAAGCACTTCAGTTAACTCCAGAGGATGCTACACTTTATGAGATGAAATCACAGGTAAATCATCACAGCTCTTTATCAGTTTAGAAATTCAGAAATAAACAACTGTGATTATTACTACATTTTGTCCAGCTATGTGAAATTGATGTGTGGATAGAGTACAACAAAACTTATTTAGGATTTCCATTTCTTCTCAACACAACAGGATGCTTTGTAGTAGGAATTAAAAATGTGGCATATCCCAGCCAATCACAGTAAGTAACATCTTTGCTAGGATGTGAATTAGGATGAACTTCATACAGTGACCATCTAACTCTCTAATTAATTGCAGTCTCTCTGCAAGGCTTTTTTACCCTCAGTGGAATCAAAAGATCCTCCCAATGGAGTGTCATCTGCAAATTTACTTACTGTGACATTCAGAGGGACTTCGACAGGCTGGAAAGATGGGTCCGGGTGAACCTGATGAGGTTCAACACAGCAGAGTGCAGAGTTTTGCACTTGGGCCGGGGGAATCCCAGGCATCCATACAGACTGGAAGGAGCAGTCCTTGAGAGCAGCCCTGTGGAGAAGGACCTGGGGGTCCTGATGAATGAAAAGCTTAACATGAGCCAGCAGTGTGCTCTTGCAGCTCGGAAAGCAAATGGTATCCTGGGCTCCATCAGAAGAGGGGTGGCCAGCAGGGACAGGGAGGTGATTGCCCCCCTCTGCTCTGCTCTTGTGAGGCCCCATCTGCAGTACTGTGTCCAGGTCTGGAGCCCCAGTACAGGAAAGACAGGGTGCTGTTGGAGAGGGTCCAGAGGAGGGTCATGAAGGTGATCAGGGGGCTGGAGCACCTCCCCTACAAAGTCAGGCTGAGGGAGCTGGGCTTGTTCAGCCTGGAGAAAAGAAGGCTGTGGGGTGACCTCATTGCAGCCTTTCAGTACCTAAAGGGAGCCTACAAACAGGAGGGGAATCAATTCTTTGAAAGGGTTGATATGTGTAGGACGAGGGGAAATGTTTTTAAGTTGAGGGAGGGGAGATTGAGGTTGGGTGTCAGGGGGAAGTTCTTTATAGAGAGAGTGGTGAGGTGCTGGAACAGGCTGCCCAGAGAGGTTGTGGATGCCCCGTCCCTGGAGGTGTTCAAGGCCAGATTGGATGGGGCCCTGGGCAGCCTGGTCTAGTATTAAATGTGGAGGCTGGTGGCCCTGCCTGTGGCAGGGCGGTTGGAGCTTCATGATCATTGAGGTCCTTTCCAACCCTGGCCATTCTGTGATTCTGTGATTCATGTATATCTTGAAGGAAACTGGCCTCACTATGGAGACCTGTGAAACTGGCTGCCAGCCTGTTATAACTGTATTTACTATAACCAACCCTTTGAGCCTAACTCATTAGCCAGTTTTTTACCAATTGCATTATATTTTTGTCTATCTGTATCCTGGACATTTTGTCTAGAAGGATACTGTGAGACACAGTACACTGAAATACAAGAAGAAGAGGTCTTTGGACTCATGAACCCGTATTGGCTGTAACCAATGAAAGGATAGATAAATCAGTCTTGGAAAAGAGAATTAATTGAAGTATAATTACGCAAGTTCATCAAAGCCAAAGGCTTGCATCCATCAGCACCTCACTAAAGTTATGGTGCCGACTTCTGATTTCTTTTTGTAGCTTAGGTGGCAAAAGTGCCAGGTTGTACTGTTCTGTTTGGATGGTGAAATTCCTGTTGCTATCTATGTGACAAGATACAAAATTGCTTTTACCCACACATTAGATAAAGATGCTGTTCTACAAAAATGTTTTAAAGTTGGATTAAGAATGAGAACAAGGATTGTGTGGCTTCAGATTTCTTATATTGTTTTCCTGTGTTTAATACCTGTAGAAGCTGCATTTCTTATTTCGTTGATAAAGACTATTGTCCATCTTTCCATCACATTTTTTCTACTTTTTTATTATTTTTTATTCTTTGTTATTTAGGAAAATAACATTGTAACCAACGTGATGGAAACAAAATACTTGCCAAGCTTCTGAAAATGTCACCTGTGTTTTATTATGTTTGTAGAACGTAGCTTACTAGGCTTTGGGGAAGATGCACAGTTGCAGTGTTATGCATATCTTTGCATTTACAAAGACTGCTCTAACAAGAGTGAACAGGGCCTTTTTCCTCACATGACACATTAGGTTTCTTTTTTTGAAAATATGAAAATCTTGTTTATGCTAATGTAGAACAATAGATGCATTTTCAGATTTTGGGAGAGACTTCTGTTGTATCAGAGGAAATAGTGAGAGCTGTTTCTTCTTCATTCATGTTCTCTGGAATTCTCAGTTAATACTTACATTCTTAATTGTGAGCAACATATTTCCTTAGTGAGCATATGCTTTTTTAAATCCAGGAGAAGTACAAGAGAAAGTTAAAACTGTAGATCAGTGAATGTTTATGTAACTGTTGTTTTTTTTGTTGGTTTTGACCCTGTCAAAGCCTTTGACACTGTATCCCACAGTATTCTCTTGGAGCAGCTGGCAACCCGAGGCTTGGATAGGTATGCTCTTGGCTGGATAAAGAACTGGCTGGAGACCTGGGCCCAGAGAGTGGTGGTGAATGGAGCTGAATCCAGCTGGAGACCGGTCACGAATGGTGTTCCCCAGGGGTCAGTGCTGGGGCCTGTGCTCTTCAATATCTTTATTGATGACCTGGATGAAGGCATTGAGTGCACCCTCAGTAAGTCTGCAGATGACACCAAGTTGGCTGGAAGTGTCGATCTGTCTGGGGTAGCGAGGCCATACAGAGGGATCTGGACAGGCTGGATAGCTGGGCTGAAGCCAATGGGATGAAGTTCAATAGGGCCAAATGCTGGTTCTGCACTTCGGCCACAACAACTCCAGGCAACTCTACAGGCTTGGGGCAGAGCGGCTGGAAGACTGTGCAGAGGAAATGGACCTGGGGGTATTGATTGATGCTGGACTGAACACGAGCCAGCAGTGAGCCCAGATGGCCAAGAAGGCCAGTGGCATCCTGGCTTGCATCAGGAACAGTGCTGCCAGCAGGAGTAGGGCAGTGATTGTCGCCCTGTACTCAGCTCTGGTGAGACCGCATCTCCAGTACTGTGTCCAGTTTTGGACCCCTCACTGCAAGAAAGACATTGAGGCCCTGGAGCGGGTTCAAAGAAGGGCAACACAGCTGGTGAGGGGTCTGGAGCACAGGGCATCTGTGGAGCGGCTGAAGGAGCTGGGATTGTTCAGTGTGGAGAAGAGGAGGCTCAGGGGAGACCTTATTGCTCTCCATAACTACCTGAAGGAGGCTGTAGTGAGCTGGGGGTCGGCCTCTTCTCTCGTGTAACTGGTGATAGGACTGGAGGGAATGGCTTCAAGCTGCGCCAGGGGAGATTCAGGCTGGATGTTAGGAAATACTACTTGTCTGAAAGAGTGGTCAGGCACTGGAATGGGCTGCCCAGGGAGGTGGTGCAGTCACCGACCCCGGAGGTGTTCAAGGAATGTTTGGGTTTTGTGTTGAGGGACATGGTTTAGTGAGAACTGTTGTGATGTGTGGATGGTTGGACTGGGTAATCTTGAAGGTCTTTTCCAACCTTGGTGATTCTGTGATTCTGTTGTTCAGTTTTCAAATCTTTATTGCTACTGTATTTGATTCTAGTACAAAGAAAACAAAAAGAAGCACAGGTTGTGGTCTGTGGCTTTTTTTTTGTTACCACACCTCTGTTGCCTGCAAACTGAATAGAGTTAGATTTTGTAGAGCAATTAATTGAAAAATTAGAAGTTGCTTTCAGTGTAGTAATGCTGAAGGAGTTTTTTGTTCTGTGCAGCTACAGAAGTTTTAGATCTTACCTAGTTTTGAATTTGATTTGAGGTGAATTGGTAGAAGACGGCATGTTGCTTTCCAGCTCACCAGAAAGGACTCAGAAATCGGCTGAATGATTGTGATTTGGTTTTGTAAAATTTCTTTGCTTAACGATACTGTTGGAGAGGAGCAAAACCTGAAAGAATATCATGGACATGAGCCAGCAGTGTGCCCTCACAGCCCAGAAAGTCAACCATATCCTGGGCTGCATCAAAAGCAGCATGGCCAGCATAAAGGTGATCCTGCGCCTCTACACAGTGAGACCTCACCTGCAGTACTGCATCCAGATGTGGAGTCCTCAGTACAAGGGAGACATAGACTGGTTGGAGTGTGTAGAGGAGGGCAGCAAAAATGATCCAAGGGATGGAACACTTTCTCTACAAGGACAGACTAAGAGAGCTGGTGCTGTTCAGCTGGGAGAAGGCTTCGTGGAGACGTGATAGCAGCCTTTCAATATCAAAAGGAGAGCTATAAGAATGAAAGGGACAAATGCTTTAGCAGGGACTGTGGTGATAGGACAAGGGGAAATGGTTTCAAACTCAAAGAGGGGAGATTTATGTTGGGTATAAGGAAAAAAAAATCTTTTACAGTGAGGGTGCTGAGGCACTGGATGCCCCATCCCTGGAGACTTTCTGGACCAGGTTCTGAACAACTTAGCTCAGATCTAGAGTCTAGCTCTAATGTCTCTGTTCATTGCAAGGAAGTTGGACTAGATGACCTTTAAAGGTCCCTTTCAGTGCTAAGGATTGTATGATTCTATGATTTTAATAAGAGAATTTACATTTTTACTTTCAGCGTGAACTTTGCTCTCTGCTGAAGAAGGAACCACAGCTGGGAAGTTTCACTGTTTCTCATTGTATTCACTTTTTGTTGTTCCATAGTACATTCTTATTCACATTGCAGTAGAAGATACGTCTATGTACAAAATTGTATACTTCATAAAATTATTTCTTAAATCTTTTTAAACAAAAGTTTAAATCAGCAGCATTTGTTTAGTATGCGCAAGTAACTATTACAGATGTTATTTGTGGTATGACTTATGCTTACTGGAAGCTGATTAGTGTAAGGTGTAATTTGATATCTTTCTACTTTTAATGCACTGATGTGAGCTGTAAAAATCCATTTTTGCCAAAATAGGAATACTTAAATCATTGAAAAAATACTGTGGTTAATACTTAAATGAAACTGTCTTCTGACTGAGTATATTGTTCCTATCCAGCATACCAAC